TTGAAATGCAATACATATCTCGATCTAACAAGATATCAATATATATATATATATATATATATATATATATATATACATATTTCTGGCATGCCATCAAGAGATAAAACCATTGCTGTTCCGAAATTTTGCTATGCCCCGCGCTACCTCACAAAAACTAATACCCCAGCCATCCCCCGCGTACCCTGCCAATCGTCATCACTAGCGTGCCTTATCAGTCGTCATCACCAGCGTAGCCTGGCTGGTCGCGTTTTGTACTTCTCTGGGCAGCCAGTATGAAACATTCCCTTAAGCCGGACTTGAGAATACTGTATGTCATAATGTGAAGCTTTGCACATATCTTTGCACACTTGTCTGCACACCTCTCAGCACTGCGTTATTGGTCGATTAAGTGGGCCAGTGCGGGGCTGCAAACCTCCGGCTTGGCACACGGAGTATGATTAACTCCATGACGCCGACCGCGGCAGATTGAGTGGTCGCTGACCGGAGCACTACCGTCAGATAAGACCGCACACTGACGTTGGTGCTGCCTGCTGGGAACATCGACGAATCATAGCCGCTTCACGTAGTGATAGCCGATCGCTCGAATGTCCGTGACACTCAACTCCGATGTGGTCATTAGTCAGCACCATCATGCTTTTTGTCATAATGCAGTTTTTTGTTGTACCTAAAAAGATTGACTCTTGGAAGTGCCGTTGCCATGCTGAGCACCACAAGCTCAATCGAAGACTATCAGGAACGACACGACGGAGCCGACGGCACGCGCAGTCCCTGGGGCACGGACAGCATGCGTAGAGCCATGCGACATCTGCTTCCCTCAGGCTGCGGCCCCAGCCCGACACTGCAGTCATGGAGCCAGCGAAGGCTCACCTATCTGCGAGTTAGCGTCGCCTGCAGTCGACATCGGGCTGCAACGCTGACAGCCCCGCTTCGCTCGCCGCTATTGGTCGGCGCCGGTCTGCCGCCGGCCAGCCTGCCAAATCGCATCCAAACGGCCTGGCGCCCATTGATTGGCCGCATGGCCGGAAGCTGACACGGCTAGTGTGTTGCGTGTGCGGCCATCATCGGTAGCTGCACGCGAGCTACGCGGCCAGCTGTGTCGGGCGGCAGGCGGTGGGCGGCGGGCGGCGGGCGGCGGTCGAGCAGCGCTCGGTGGTGGGCCCGACCGGCCGGCCGGCCGGCGCCTCCCACGCGCACCCTGCCGCCACCCGCCGGCCGACCAAGACGTGCCGACGCGGCACGTCCGCCCTCGCCAAACGAAATAACTCGACGCCTCGTGCTCGAACCGCCCAAGGTGACTCGGAGGACCTTCACTCGTTGTTTTATTAAGGCCGCTTCGTTGCCACGTTTTTGCCCGGCGCGCTCCAGACGGCGATGGGTGTAAAACCCTCAGGTGATGACAAATGCATTCAAATTTCGACCCGGACGTTGATGCATTCAAATATATTTCAAGCCGCATTACTTACTGTTGTTCGTCCGAGTTCGTTTTCAGCCCTAAGCTATCCCTTTCATTCGACGCTCGTCCCCCGTATCTGTATTCATCTTGCTGGGTGAGTGAGGATATGTTAATAGCATGCGCATCTTGACCTCTACAAAGCATAATATAACAGCCGCGCACACCAACCAGTGTAAGCCTCAGATGTGATGAAATAAACTCACTTCTAAGTATACTTTTAAATGAAAAGGACTGTGCTAGCCCGCACAATTCCTCCATTTGTGAACATTGCTCCTCAATATGTCATTGTTTGATGGCGTTATGAAACTCTTGTATGAAAGCATTCAGTTGAAGTTCTTTAATCTTCCGAGAGCTGGACCGCGGCGGTGCTAGACGTGTGCTGAAACAAATATCCTTAGGTGTTCGTGTTTGGTCCTTCCGCTTGATGTTCCTGCATACTTATCCGTGGGTTTAAGGTGCTGTCTTGTGTTTAAATGCTCGGTTACGGTGCTTTCCTCAAGATATTCGACTACATGCTTTATTTCCAATATGACTAGAAAAAATGTATAACATCTTGTATTATGCAGCACGAAACGCAATTCTTGTTAGATTCTTGCATATCTTGCACAAAACTGGTTGAGAGCCAATAGACGGCCGTCATACTTGGAAATTCTGCTCACGAACGCCAGGTATTTCGACGAACGAACGAAAGATATGAACATGTATGTCCATCTTGACCTTGAAAGCCGCGAGGCCAGTGGAATGGCAGCATTTGAACTGCGTTATTATAGCGCCACGGACGCCCGGGTAACCTTAATATAGCCTGCACGAGATCGTGTGCACATCTTCGTGGGCCTGCAGCGAAAAAATTAGAGGATTTTAGGTCTTAGGAAAAGCGGGGCTGGAAACTGCATCGGATGACCTTCAAGGTAGTTATTTCAGCTCAAAATCTCATACAAATGTGAAACACTCCCCCTAGCTTAGTATCAGAGGTAGGAGGCAGGATCCCCCAATCAAGCACGTTTCCCTGTCTCCAAGCCCTTAGTTTTCTTGTCAGTGCACTTCCTGTATTTTTTTTCATGCCTTCCTTGTACTTCTTGTGTTCCCTCCCTTTATTTTCCCCTTACCGGTTTTCCCTGCTTGTCTTATTTTAGTATGTATACGCTCTGTTGGCGCTCTGACCCATCCCAGTCAATGCAGCCTGAATTAGACACCCGAATGCCTATCGTCAAGAGCATCCATTTGACCGTCTAACTCGCCCAACTTCGACGCAGCAGGCTGGCATAGCTGTGAACTCGATGGAGCCTCTTGCACTCTGCAAGTTGGTCCATTACTGTGCCGCTTTCACGGCACCTATTCTTTTGTGCAGCCCCACATGACATCATCGTATTTGTCGAGCCCGTAATACATCAGGCATGCGATAGACTGACAGCGTGCGACAGGGACACACTGCTGGCCGTCCATGCTGTCACCACTTCCGGCCCAAATGTGAATCAAGGTCCACAAATGTCAGCTGTGGCCATATTAAACCGAAAGTTTAAACAAAATATCCTGCAAAAGAACCGTCTATGAACTACGTTACATATTACGGTGGAAGAACGGATGGAGCGTAACGAAAGCGTAACAAGGGAGATACAGAAGGCTTTGGGAAGCGTAGTATTACGCTCAGACGCAGCTGCAAATGATGATGAAATGTTTAAAACACAACTTAAAACTTTAAACCGGTTACTATTCTCTTATAGCAAAAAACACGCAATAATTGAGTCCGCATCCCTAGAGAAATAAGGGACACGTCAGACGGGCATTCCCTCTTGAACAAATTTTTCTTAACACAGCGTAACCAAAAGGAGGAGGGGGGGGGGAGGGGTCACACGGCGTAACCAATGCGCTACCACGGAAGGGCAGGGTGAACATTGCGAAAATGCGCAACGTGATGTATGCCAGCCCAAAAGGTTTACCATATACAACGGCAAAATCGGTCGAACACTAATAGGACCCGCTGCAATAGGGGCCAGTCTCATCGATTGTTTAGACATCACACTAGTCGTTGACGGCTCCCTCGTCTCTGCGCGGCGCGCAGTTCACATCCTCTACTCGGCAGCTTGCGGCCGGTGTCTACAGATAAATCCGTCTGTTCAGCTGAGCACAATGGAAATGTAGCAGCGGAGCCGAGAAGCATGCAGAGCTCTAGCGGACGTCGTTAGCAGATCGTTAGCAGATCGTCACGGCGAAGAGTCACTTTCGGAAGGATGCACTGTAGCGTCACATCGTGCAAATGTTCTCAGCCTCCTTGTGTGGGCCGCAAACGTCGCAAACTGAAAAGACGCCAGCGTCATGTCTTTGTCAGCATGAGCTGACTTGAGAGGCGTCGCGCGACCCCAGAAGCGTTGGTCGGCTGACCTGGGGGGTGGAGCCCAACTCCAGAAACGTCCGCGTCACTGTCGCGCCACCCACCGCCGCCACGCCGCACTCGACGGCGCTCACAGCGCGAGCTCTGGACGTGGCCAGCGGCCACTGCGTGTCGCTCGATAGCGCTCAGCTCTAGGGCGATTATGCAGCATCAGGTGACCGATCCTTGGGAGTCAGCTGTCTGGGGACGGTCGCGATCGAGGCGGTCGGTGCGTGAGGTCAGGACCCGGCCGGCCGCTGGCTCGACGCGCCACTACGCCCTACGCTCGGGGTCTGCTGTAATCAGCCCTGTCAGTGCGCTGCCAATTGAGAGCGTGACAGCCGGCCGGCGTCCTGGGCCACGGCGTCCGAGGGTGGACAACCGCTGGCGCCCTGGGCCACAGCATCCGAGGCCGGACAGCCAGCCGGTGCCCTGGACCACGGCGTTCGAGGCCGGACAGCCGGCCGGTGCCCCGGACCACGGCGTCCGAGACCGGACAGCCAGCCGCCACCCTGGACCACGGCGTTCGAGGCCGGACAGCCAGCCGGTGCACCGGACCACGGCGTTTGAGGCCGGACAGCCGGCGCCCTGGACCACGGCGTCCGAGGCCGGACAGTTAGCCAGCGCCCTGGACCACGGTGTCCGCGGGTGGACAGCCAGCCGGCGCCCTGGGCCACGGCGTCCGAGGCCGGACAGCCAGCCGGCGCCCTGGACCACGGCGTCCGAGGCCGGACAGCCGCCGGCGCCGACTTCCAGGATCATTAGGCTGTTCTTGAGCGTGACCAGCGTTCATGTCACAACACAGCAATTCTAATTATGCTGTTGGAAGGGGAGATGTAGCGTGCAGTGGGTCGGTTGACCGACGCACGGGTCTCCCCACCGAAGGGTCAGCTGACTGGAATTCGGCACTACCTAAGGATACCTGACCGCACCACCCGAGGACACCTGACCGGACCACCCGAGGACACCTGACCGGACCACCCGAGGACACCTGACCGGACCACTCGAGAACAACTGACCGGACCACTCGAGAACACGTGACCGGACCACCCCACCCGAGGACACCTGACCGGACCATCTGAGGACACCCGATGGACGACTGATCGAAAGTGATCGCCGCCTAGACGGACCACCCGGAGGTCGAGAGGCAAGGCTGTCAGAGAGTCAGCCTGAGCTCACCTGTGGCCGTCGTTTCTGAGAGCACCGACTCCGGGACGCCTTTGGCCAGGAGCAGGGAGCGTGTGGCGCCACAGTCCGTCGGGTCGGCCTGCGCCGAGGCCGTCCGTGCCGCGCCGCTCAGCAGCAGCGCACAGAACACTAGCAGCTCGCACCGCCACATCGCACCACCAGCGTCACGGTGTCCGCGCTCGACAGCCACCCGCCGACCACTGACTGACCGGCGGCCCGCCGGCCAGGTGCGCCCCGCCGCTGCTGCCACCCAGCGGCGGACGGCCGAGTGAGCAGCCAGACGCTGTCCGGACCGGCGGCGCCTGCTCCTGGTGCTGCCGGCGCGGGAGGCGCGAGCACTGCCATCCCCAGCGACGGCGTCGCCGTGGGTGGCACGGTTACTACCTGTAGCTGCTATAGATGCCACGTCTGCTGTGATCGCGGGGCGTATTATGACGTAGCTGTCCGGCCCCACGTGCTGCGGACGGCGCTGCTGCGCCTGGCATCACCGCTATCTGCTCCACACGGTGAAAAGGGAGTTGGAAGGCACGCTTACCTTTCCGACTGTCCTCCCTGTAGGAGGGGGGAGGGGGGGGGGGCCCTGCAACTTTCTTGGACTGTTTTATGAGGGTGCAGCGGACAGGAAAGGAGCTGCACACATTTTTGCAAGTGCGCGAGCCCTCCCAACGACTAGAGTATATGCAATTTTGCAAACGAGACTGAAAGTTCCCTGCGATAGTCCAAACCGATGCCTGATGGGGACCATAGTTGGCGTGGCGCGTCCCCTCTGTCATATACCTCTGTGAGTAGTCGGGGCGGCTCTTTAGGGTTTGGACAAAGCCTTGCAGACTTCCTTGTTCTGCATTCCAATCGACCTGCTGACGTACACATTCGGTACGATGATAGGCACAAACAAGAATCAGCTCATGCAATTGCTTCCCGTTCATCACAGTAAGTGGTTAAGCTCATCGAGCCTGGCCATCACGTTTACCCTCCATACCACGTAAAACCAATGAATCATTAACGATAACCGGAGGAGGGATGGTTAGACGAGCTTTTTGAACCTGATTCTTCGTGCTGTGGATTACATCACTGTCGATGAGCTCGCAGCATGCAAATCATGCTGTCCTGTCTCAGCTAAGCAAGAAGTTTCCCTCAAACCAAACACAAAAGACGCTCAAATTTTCTGTAATCGGCCCTGGACAGCCTCGAAGACATATGGAAAACATTTTAAGGAATAGTCCGAAAAAAAGTTTATGACAGATCAAAGAAGCTGTTGTCAAATTACCAAAAGAATCGCTAATCTTAGACGACTTTCAAAGCTCTTTTCCATTAGGTTTTGGATCCCAAAAGATTTGGGTCTATCCTCCAAGGTTCCGATCCTGTGATGTACTTCTAGACGTCATGACGCACCCACGCCTGCAAGGAATTAATTCCCAAAGATCTCTTAGTAATGCAAAGGGTTGGTTCCGGGAACTATGTTAATGCCGTGAACTTTTCTGGTCCGCTTAGAGTTCTTGGGGCCATACAACTTTTTCAAGCCTCGTGGCGGCGTTGGGCCTTATCACCGTCTAGTATTCATCGTCTACTGATTCATCGTCCCGTTCCCGTGGCCGTTTTGGATGTTTTACATTTCCATGCCATTTCGTCAGCTCGAGTTCCCAGACCGTTTTGAACGCTTTTGTTCACTGGGAGCCACTTTTCACTTCAAGCCCTCGGATGTTTAGAGTCCTCTGGGTCCTTTGTACTCCCTGGTTGCCCTAAACAAGTGCCTAGTCTCGAACCGCCTTTGCTATCCTCGTGCAGTCTTGGGACTACCTCGGGCGTCTTAGTTACCGTAGGGCCGTTACCTTCTAACGCCTCCCTGAAATGCCAAGATTTCACCCATGGGCTGGGGGTGCTTGATAATTAAGCGCCATGACCGTTCTGTTCTCTCTCACGTTGAAAATTTGTTCGGACGTTTTGCGATCCATGATTGGCTTTGGTTGATAGCTATTTATTAGCTGTTAGGTTTTAAGGGCTCAACTGCGATAGCTATTTACGTCTCTTTTTGATTAAGTGCCTCTGACCGTCTTGAGACTGTTTAGTTCTCACGGGGCCTTAGGCAGCTCGGAAGAAAAGTTGTCCTGTTCAGACCACAGAATATGTGAGGATCCTGCCCCTCTACCTCCTCCATCAACATGTGGCTCATAGAAAAGTTCGGTTAGCTCGACTATCCCGCGGTCGTCTGCTGTTTCAGGGGCTTTTGACAGTCTGCGTACTTCTTCAGCCATCATCTGCCATCGGACCGCGTGTTCCTAAACTGATCAGGGCTCTGCTGTTTGAAGGATTTCTGACAGTCTGCGTGCTTCTTCAGTTATTATCTGCCATCGGTCCGCGGGACCCATTAACTGATCAGGGCTCTGTTGTTTCAGGGGCTTCTGGCAGTCTACGTACTTCTTCAGTTATCATCTGCCATCGGACCACACGACCCACTACCTGATCAGGGCTCCAGCTGTCTCTGGCCTGTCAGACCTTTGTGCCGCTTGGTCCAAAGTGTGTGTGTGTGCGTGTGTGTGTGTGTGGAGGGGGGAGGGTCGGGGACAATCAGGTGGGGCGTTTGGGACTTTGGTTTGGGGGCCCGGAGTTACTCCACAGGGCCTCTGGACCAGTACGAGTCACTTTACCAGACAGAGTCTTGGTCATTGGAGGTCCCCGTTCATCTCAGGGCTTTCTAGCCACCCAGGCCTTTATGCTATAAATAATAGGATAATATGCGTCGAGGACGCATGAACGACTCAGCGCCAATTCAGTTCAGGGACCTTGATTTCCCTGGGGTCCTCGCCCATCTCGTGGACCTTGGTCCTCTCGGGGCGTCCAGACAGATAATTCGGGTACTTTTGAGTTTAAGCCCCGCTCGGCGTATGGGGCCTCTTGACCCTTTCATCGCTTTTGGGAGTGTTCCGCCTGAAACCTTCCCCATTATTTCCGGTAATTTCGGGGTCTTCGGCTATCCCGGCCTCCCTATCAGGGGCGCAGCAAAAGCCTTGGCAAGGGGAGGGGGGTGCAGGGTTGAGAAAGGGCCGCTGATGGTGAGAGGTCCCCCAAAATTGCCGCATGTGACACACTTGCTAGTGGGAAGCCGTTTTTCTTGGTTTTACTGTTATTATTGTCATTACCTTCAATAGCTAGAACAGAACCAAAAAGCATCGCGATACCATTGCTGTTTGAATTTTGAAGGCAATTAAATGAAGAAACCAGGCGTTAAACGTTTATATGCAATAAATTGCCGGTGGTCTTCGTTCTCGTTCATTGGAGTCTTTCTTAGCTGATTGAACTCAGAAGCTTCACCAGAGCATTGATCCGGATGCTGCAGAGTTTTTTGAGGACCCGCCAACATGATGAGGGCAGTTAGGTTTAGGGATTCCTCGACTGTTAAATTACCGATCTAATCGGTCAACACCTATTTTAACAAGGTCAGCCAATGCTTTTCTGAAAATGTTCAACATTCAGCCAGAATGGACGCCTTTGGGAACCGCATGCTGCAGACCCGTGCCAGTGAGCCAGTGTCTCAGCTAGACGTGGCTATGCGTGGTCGGCACAGAGACGGAGCTGGCCGTGAGACCGCTGAGCCCGTTCGTGACGAACAGCCTAAACTGCCCACTTAGCTAGGCACCTGGCCCATGACAGCACCGTGAATCAAACAGATTTAATGTACTCCCAATATGGATTGACATTGAACATATATCATGGCATTGAACATATATCATTGTTATTAATCCATGCAATTTATACGCGTCAGCGTCACCGCGCTTTTTAAAGATTCTCTTGTCACGTTCCGATGAACGCCAAGCTGAATATACAACCATTAGTCAGACATCTTCACTTTCTTTTTACCTAAAGTATCATGAGCAAGGGCCACCCAATACTATTTTCTATTTAATCTGATCACTGGTCCTAAAGGCTACGCCGCCGCCTGTCACACATCCATATGTCACACACAGTAATGAGCGCTATCTGACACAGACATTAAAGACATGTTCTTTTAATGACGGGCACGTATAGCTACATCATCTTTGCATAACTCCAGCGTGATAAGAGGGCAAGATATCCATGCCTTATTTGTGCGAAGCTGCTGGCTGCAGCACTCTGAAAGCTATGATGTATCAATTACATCGAACTTATTCAGCTGTTAAGAAAACACAACGTGGTCTCTTAATAACATTGGGAACTATTTGCCACGAGGCCATCGCAAAAACACGAACAATGCCTTACCGGATTAGTTATTACAAACGCATGGCTCGTGACAGACTGGTTACCTCACAGCTGTATCAAACTCGATGCTACGTCACCGTACCTAAACATCCCAAAACGAGTGAGTGGATATGTTCCGCGAGGTGAGTGGACATCCTTAAAATCGGGTGACAGCCCTGTGGAACGCGCGTAAGAACATTTCCATCATCTCCCCCTCCGCCTGGTCCCAGGAACAGACCAGTAAGCTAATGAGAGCGTCACGAGTAACATAGACGTTCATTTAATTCTTGAAGCGCTCTGCTTGCATCTGGTTCGTCCTGTCCGTTGGCAGCTGGCCAAGCGCGTCCTGGCACGGCGACGGTCCACCGATCTATACAACACCGCGCGAATCCATCAGAAACGCCCACGGTTCCGCTGAGCACCTGGAGGCAAGTCAATCGGAGTACTGAAATTGAAGTCCGGGATAGCAGGGTCAAAGCTCACTCGGCCAACTCTCCTCAGCATGTAATCTCCAACATAAAATCATTCTCCCAAGGCATTCGGGATAGATCGCTGACCCAGATCTTGACTACGTGTGAATTAAGACAGTGCGGCATCGTTGTCTGCTTCATGCAAGCGACATGAGCTTAAAGCACCATGAATTGAATGCGGTCTTCGCTACTGTCATGTCTTAGCTTAGCTGTTCCGGTCGGACAAACAAGCAGCTCTCTGACGTAGGCCGTCACGTAGCCTACGTGTGAATGCGCCCAATCTTGAAAACGGTCACCATCCCGAAAAAGCCAGGAATGAAGCCGAACAAATGTGACATTTGGTGGTGCACGGATGCATTTGCGGGCTGACAATCACAAACTGCTCGGTCAAACACCGGCCAACCTAGAGAAGATCAAATTATCGATACGCCACCGGGTTAAAACTCGGGGCAAAGCGCTTCGGAAAAACGCAATATCTGAGAGATACAAGATGTGTAAGCATCTTGAAGAATGCGCCTTGCCTCACTGCGAGGCAAAGCGCGCCTCTCCTTTACATTTGTAGCATACCAATGAGTCACTGGATCCTTCACCAGAGCTTCCATGTGGTATCCGACTCCCTGGTACACAGCACAGCAGTAGTGACAGAATTTTAATATTTTTTGACACTGTGCGTACAAAACGTGCATCAAGTTCTACAGAAACTGCACTACGTCTCACGCGGGTGCTCAGGGCATTATAAAAACATCTTCCAAATATGAAAATGCTTATCATGCTGAGATACTTTTTAAGGCTTCAACGTGAATGACATTTTTTTATTACCACGCACTCCAAAAATGCATGCCACGGCATCGGTGGGCCTGCCAAGCGAGCATTGTAATGCGGGTTGGTGGAAGAACCAGATAGTAGGCCCAGATAATTTCTTCGGGTCCCGTGACTCGAAAGCTTCAGTGACAAGAAAAGGTCTGCTTTTGGCACTCTACAAATCTATTGGAGATTGCCGGGGTATTAGACACACATCTGCTCAGTGCGCGGCTCGAGTAGGGACTTTGAAGGGAATGTTACGTATTTGAAGATATTGGGACAAACACCAGATATGATGAAACAAGCTCACATATAACTAAACGTATCATTTTAAGTGAAAAATGCTGTTCTAGACAGCACAATGTCTCCATTCAGCAAATATGTTGCTCACCGCGTCATTGTTTGATTACGCCATCCTACCTTACACAACATTAAGAGCCGACTGACAGCCGTTATACCTGAAAATCATGCTCACGAACACCAAATGCGAAAGACTTGACACTTATGTTTTTCTTAGCCTTGATCGTTACTTTGCAAATGGAGTGGCAGGACTGCATGGCGTTATCATGGCGTCGCGGATGCCTGGGCGACCTTGAAACGGTCTCCCAAAAAAGTATGCACATGTCCGCAGGCGTGTGGCTCAGAAACTGGAGCGCTTTAGGTCTTCAGGGGGTCAGGGCTGTGAACTGCATCGAGTGATCTTCAAAATGGCTATTTCAGTTCAAAACCTCACAAAAACGTGAAACATTTCCTTAATGCGTTCTAGCGCTTAGTAACGGTGAAGGAACATAGCGTAGTGGCAAGCCAGTTACCGATATCCGAACAGGTCACTATGTGCTAAGCGTGTGCAGCGGCCACCAATGACTATATGTGCCGCAGCTAAAGGCGCCTGTGAAGCCTCCATGTGATATTATGCGCCAAATACACGAAACATGTCCTGCATTCGTTTGTAACGTGTAATGCGTTGTATTACGCGCGCCGACCCTGCCGCCATGAGAGTTAATGCTGTAAAAACATGTGCATAATCATAACATCGACACTGATGCATGGGGCGTGGGAATCGAGGATGGGGCAGACGCCGAGACCCACAGCTTTCTGGAAATTTAGCATTTAGCGTTGGAGTTCCCTTTTTCTACCATTAACTGCGGCCAAAGCCACGCAGTCCATGGAGACTGCAACGTCGGACGGCGGGGGTTTTGTTCGAAGACTCGCGAGCGCGCAGAGTCAAAAATATTATGTAAGTTTCACTTCTCGTTTCTGAGCAAAGGCCGAAAATTCCCACACGGCCATGAGATCGCCATTTCAAAGCAACTGTATAACCCCCGTTTCGGTCTACAATCTACGTTTACTATCATCTACGTTTACAAAGCTCTTGCTGTAAACCGTTGGCGAAATTAATGAACAGGACATGTCCCAGTACCAATCCTTGAGGGGCACCGCTGGCGACGTCGTTCCAGTCTGACTTCGAGCCATGGACCCACACTCCGTGCTGATGGATGGAAGCAAACTTTAACTTACCACTTTGTCTACAACTTTAAAGAGCTGCGGGATGTTCCAGTCGATTTGTTCTCCGCATTCAAGTGTTATGCTTTGAGAGGTTTTCCAGCATTTGCAAAGTGACATAGCGTATAACCGAGCTGACATGGCAAAGAATGATGAGCCCTTTTCACACTGGCAACATTAGACAATATTTTAATGAAATACGGAACCCAAAATGCACCAAAGCTGGGATAAACAGGAGCGAAACCCATCGCTTGTCGTCAGGTCTATCAAAATAGTCCGCAAATGTTATTCTGAAGAAAGCGATGTAAAATTTGCATTCGATGTTCCAGCAGCGAGCGGTAGGAGAGATCGACGCTGCCATCTCCAATTGGCTCCAAGGGTCGCGGAACCGGGGAGGGAGGCGCCTCGGCCGTGTGACGGGACTGCATGACACCTCCTCATTGACATCGGATCGTACCGCAAACCCTTTGGCGAGTGGCGTCTCTCCTGCGTCAAGGGAGCTAGTCCTCACCGAGCTGCAAAGCCTCTGATGCCCTGCTTAGATGCGGACAAAGTTGGATCCTGTGATCGATTGTCCGTTATGAAAGTTCAGATACAGAATGTCGTTTCACCGTTTTGTGTTTACCTACGGAAGTCGGGTTGTATTGAGCACCACTGTGCGGACACTCCTCGCCCATCGTTCTGTCCACCTATCCTCAATCCCACATTGCCGCTGGCATTGATATATTTCTTGAAACGACACGAAGTGATAAGTTTCATTTGGTCTGATTGGGCATACATGGAAAATTAAGGATATTACATTGTTTAAGTTTTCGGCAACAAAGAACGCAACTCTTAAAATTGTTCACCATATCAAATGCCAATTTTTTAAGAGCAAACTTTTACATCGGGCAGGTTTTTCCAGATTGCAATGCCATCACACTGCCCCCTGTCCCTTCAACTTGCATGGGATACAACAAATCTCGGGAGGCGAAAACGCTAAAAAATGGAGTCAGATCGGGTCCGAATCTCGAAGATCCGGCGTTACAGCCGTAGGAGTTGAGCAGATTTTGACAATTCCGCTCAAAGTGACACCAATTCGTACTAAAAGCTCTCCACTATCAGTAAATAAAAATAATTATTTCGCCAGTCTATAAATAGAACGGACAAGAAGGAACAAACGCAAAGAACATTCCCTATTTCACTTTCTGTTATTAGCCATTCATAATTCCCCCATTCGCGACGCTATGGTCCACCTAACCGATTATCATGTTTGAAATAAATTGAGAATGGGTTGCGCAGCATGCATGCCAACCAGTAAATGTCCTAAATGTGATCCTTTTGGGGAGAAATAATTTCCGTTCATATTTTTACATATCGGTTGACATCGACAACTGAATATTTTCGCCAGTCGCTATTGTACCCAACTCATCCACACGAAGTCAAGCCCCCCGGCATGGAGGACATTACTTGCGGTCCTGTTTTAATGAGGGGGGGGGGGCGAGGGGTGCTCTTCAGATGGCAATCTCTGGGCACGAGCCTCGGCCGCTGCGTCACTGGGCGGAAAATGACAATCGTGAGATACGACAGCTGGGGACGCGACAGTGTGAGACTGTGTCGACGGTTATTTCAGCACGAACACGCCCCGATCGACCTTCCCGGTACCGCTGTTATCCAAAACGCCCACAAGTTCACACGCAAGCCTGAAGTACGCTTCATAAAGATCTTCCCACGACGCTACATGTATTGCAAAGGTCACATATATACCAAACTCAAAGCAAATCACGGGTGTTCTGCATCACTTCATGGGCGCCCAATGGTGTGCATCACATGCCAGTCGCACAGCTCCCGCCCACTTCATATTACACGCCACACGGGGGTGCACAGATCGTGGGCAGCTCGAGCACAGCGCTGCCAACGAGGGCCTGCGCAAGCGCTTGCTGGAGACCAAAGCGCGTTGACTGGAGCCCCCCCCCCCCCCCCACACTGACGCCGCTAGCGCTGGCTGATGCAGCTGATGGAGAGGGCTAGCAAACGCCGCCGCTGATCCACCGGACGGTCTCAGCAGCTCTGAACGGTGCCCTCGGCTGGCAGCTGGCTGATGCAGCTGCTGATCCATCCGAAGGTCTCAGCAGGTCTGAACGGTGCCCTCGGCTGGCAGCTGGCTGATGCAGCTGCTGATCCATCCGAAGGTCTCAGCAGGTCTGAACGGTGCCCTCGGCTGGCAGCTGGCTGATGCAGCTGCTGATCCACCGGACGGTCTCAGCAGGTCTGAACGGTGCCCTCGGCTGGCAGCTGGCTGATGCAGCTGCTGATCCACCGGACGGTCTCAGCAGCTCTGAACGGTGCCCTCGGCTGGCAGCTGGCTGATGCAGCTGCTGATCCATCCGAAGGTCTCAGCAGCTCTGAACGGTGCCCTCGGCTGGCGGCTGGCTGATGCAGCTGCTGATCCACCGGACGGTCTCAGCAGCTCTGAACGGTGCCCTCGGCTGGCAGCTGGCTGATGCAGCTCGTGATTCTCTGAATGGTCTCCGCGTGACCAAGCACAGCAATCATCTCCGCGACCCCAGGACCCTCCTGAAATACAAGCGGCGTGCCTGTTACATGATACATGTATCCGTTAAAGGCACAGGACTCACGAAACGCCGACGCAATGCCAATGTCACGGCCCCCTCGAACATAGATACCGTCTTAATGGCACACGACTTTCCCGTGCGACGGTTGCTGTCTCCACAATTTCAAGAGCCGAGCACGATTATCGTCATGCAGGTTTACTTAGCCTTATCAAAAACAGACATTTCATCGTCCACACCGATGGGATCGACTTTGGTTGTGCCGATTGCTCTATTGTACCAACAAATGTTTTGTTCGATAATTAACCGGAATTTCTTAACCTTTTTGGATTTATTTCTCTTTATGGATAGATCGATTAATGATTTGTCCCAGATTCCGCACAAGAATAAATAAATTAGGGCATGCATGCTCTCATCTTATCGTAGACAGGGTTAAACAAACGCCTGATACGTCCACAGAAGTGTTCTAGATAGCGATTGGATTCGGGCAATACGAACCACAGCACAGTACCAAACTCTCGCTATCTCGCTCCTGCGTGAGCGCTTCATGAGTGGAAATACTGATCCTGTTTCTGGCTATCATACCACATAGTCTCGGCTCAGTGCATGTAGCAGCGTCACCTTCCATTCAGCACCTAACAGTTGGCGATGCACGGAGTTATCTCCCCCGATTCAAAACAGGATTAAGCTTGACCACAATCTCCCCTGATACCTTCGTTTTCTTCCTTGGAAGTGTCCCTCCCCGCCGGGCACGCCAGGGCGAGCCGACCACTAATTGCTAGCCGGCCCTGCTCTGTGTGGAGCCGCACACGAGCTGAGCTGACTCCAGTCACCGTCGGCGCGGCCGTCCGCGCGCCGGCAACGTCCATGCGCCTGGCCCGGCGGGCCGCTCACCTCGACGCCGCTGAGGGCCAGCCGCAGCAACCTCATCAGCGCGCCGAACTTGACCTGGCTGCGCTCGGAGACGGCGCGCAGCAGCGGCACCAGCCGCTCTCTGGTGAGGTCCTCCTCCGGCCACGCAGCCAGCTCGGCTGCCGTCAGCCGCAGCGCGCCGCCTGCGCCACACACCGACAGCTGGCGTCACCGACCGCACCAGACACGGCTGACACCGCACCGGACCCGGCCGCAACACCGTGTCAGGCACGGATGACACCAGACCAGACCCAGGCACAACACCGGACCAGGTAAGGCTGACACCGGACCGGAGCCACGCACAACACCGGACCAGGTACGGCTGACACCGGACCGGAGCCACGCACAACACGACGTCAGGCTCGGCGTCGGACCGGACGCAGCCGCAACACCGCGTCAGGCACGGATGACACCAGGCCGGACCCAGGCAAAGCACTGGACCATGCAGCGCTGACACCGGACCGGACCCAGGAACAACACCGGACCAGGCACGGCTGACACCGGACCGGGCCCAGGCACAACACCGGACCAGGCACGGCTGACACCGGACCGGACCCAGACACAACACCGGACAGGAGCCATGCACAACACCGGAACAGACACGGTTGACACCCCACCGGACCCAGGCATCAGACATTGGATCATTCCCTAGCACAGCACCGCAGCATGGGACAACGGTCCAGACGCCGGCACACTATCGGAGCACGCGCAGCACACCAGGGCATCCAAGTCACCAAGTCCTACAAGTCCTACAAGTCAGTCCAGTCCAAGGACAAGTCCACCAACACCACGTCCTAGTCCGCAGAACATCGGGCATAGCTCAACGGTCCCGACACAGACAACACACTGGTGCGAGGCACGACAGAACCCTCCCTCACAATCGCAACCGACAGTTTCAAGACACCGGACCCGACACGGTCTCCAAAACCGCGTCGGTGAGGCGGCTGACACAGTCCAAACAAATGCCGCGTCGGTGAGGTGTCTGACACAGTCCAAACAAACACCGCGTCGGTGAGGCGATTGAGCAGTCAACCGGCACCGCGCCGTTGAGGCGACTGACAGTCCAAACACCGCGTCGGTGATGTGACTGATGCAGTCCAAACCATCAACGCGCCCTTGAGGCGACTGACAGTCCAAACACCGCGTCGGTGATGTGACTGATGCAGTCCAAACCAACATCGCGTTGGTGAGGCGACTGACAGTCCAAGCACCGCGTCGGTGAGGTGACTGACACAGTCCAAACTGACACCGCGCCGTTCAGGTGACTGACAGTCCAAACACCGCGTCGGTGAGGTGACTGATACAGTCCAAACCAACGCCGCATCGGTGAGGCGATTGAACAGGCCAAACAAGCACCACATTCCACCAGCTGTCACTGTATAAAGGAAAACGAACAGATGCCAGGATGCCACCACACCGCATTTATTATGGAAGATGCGGATGTGGAACAGTGGTGGCATTTGCATCTGTCGTAATGGACTTATGCTATTCCACCTAAGAGGTACACTCCCCTCGCGGATGCCATGTCGTAATGGACCTGTGCTATTTCACCTGATAGGTACATTCCCCTTGCGGATGCCATGTCGTAATGGACCTATGCTATTCCACCTGATAGGTACACTCCCCTCGCGGATGCCATGTCGTAATGGACCTGTGCTATTTCACCTGATAGGTACAATCCCCTTGCGGATGCCATGTCGTAATGGACCTGTGCTATTCCACCTGATAGGTACACTCCCCTCGCGGATGCCATGTCGTAATGGACCTGTGCTATTTCACCTGATAGGTACACTCCCCTTGCGGATGCCAGTCTCCAAACCTGCTATTGGCGTTGAAATTACCTCCGAACATGACCCCATGCCAAGTCCTGCCAAAACACACTATCAAAATTACTTGTAAACATGCCCTCATTCTGTTGCCCGCCAACACATTTCACGACGCGCCCGCCTTCCATGGTAGGCATGTGCGACTCCCGTTCGACAATCATTTGCTTAAGCTGGCCTTGGTCAAAGACCACAACTGAAACACAATACGGCGTTGATTAAATACGACTGGCCCAACTATACACTTTTACAGCAATATTGCATATCGCTGTAAAAATAAAGCTTATATTCGGAGCAGAAGGCAAGGTAGCTCAGCAGACGCCGGAAACGACAACAATGAACACGCTTGCCTTGGGACGCTTTCTGTTTTCACTTACATATTGCGTGTGTGTGTGTGTGTGTGTTGTGTGGTGTGTGTGTGTGTGTGTGTGTGTGTGTGTGTGCGTTGTGTGGTGTGGTGTGGTGTGCGTGTGCGTGTGGTGTGTGCTGTGCGTGCGTGTGCGCGTGGTGTTGTGCGTGTGCGTGTGCGTGTGCGCGCGCGCGCGTGTGTGTGTTGTACCTAAAAGTAGTGCATGTATTGAGTTATAAGAAAACTGTGTCTAAAAAAAAACCACCACAAAAAACAAATATATACATAACATATATCAATACATATATATATTCTGGAGGTGACTGGCACCAACTATCAGCAAGCGCAGTGCTTGAATTGTCAGTTGCACGCGATGCGCACACTAACGCTCTCTCCGCGGCGCACTTCACTGCAATCAACCCGTCTGTTCAGGCCGTGTCCGGCGTTTGCCGGCTTGCGGTGCGCTTGAGTATGGAAGTTTCCAGCAGAAGCGTTCATATCAACAATCCCAGAATGCAACAGCGACACACCATTCCCGGACGTTGACGTAGACGTTTCTGCTGGAAGCGACTGAAGTGCACCGCAGGCCAACAAACACCGGCCTCTGCCTGAACGGGCGGGCGATTGCCATGACGCTACAAGGGGGGGGGGGGGGGGGGGGGGCGTTATACGCGCACTCGTGCATCGGACGTTGAAACACTGTTTTTGCTGGGATCTGGTGCGCCGACAGCTCCAGGGCTATTGAAAATTCTCGCTGACAACGATTACAGCGTCGCAGCCACCAGCAACTAGATTCGAGGGAAGGTGGATGGTCTGCCAACCAACAGCTGACAACAAACCTGCTGGCAGCACACGCGAGCTGTTCCACAAAAACTCCATGTCGCCATAGTTCTTAAAGGATGAGAGAGTGCTGCAGGACAAGGACTGCAGAGCATGTCTGCAGTGAATGCAACATCAACCAGTTGGTTACAGCGAGAGTCCGCAAGTGTTTATCCTGGTGATGAGAAACAACTTGCCGCAAGATCCCTCGAAGCTGAGATCTACCAGCGTAGTATACAAGTTCAGGTGTGTTGCCAGTGACTATGCACACCGCCCCGACCGCTGTAACACTGGCCACCCAACAAAGACGCTCTACAAAAGAATAGCCTGGATCACCTGCAGGATGGCGTCCCCGAGAAGCATCTTCGCCGCTCCCCCATCACGGAACTCGTGCGCAAGATGTTGGCGAAATACACGACAGGGTTAGCGCGCTGCCACGACAAAACAAAGATGCATGCGTTCGAGGCAGTGCTATACGAGAGACATGGACCCACCCATCACCCGACGGATGACGTTTTGCGCTCCTCCCTGCCGGTGTAGGACAGGTCGCCGTTGGGGGCCAGCCTGTCCAGTGTCGTGAAAGGGGTTCTCTTGGTACATACGTCTGTCGCATAATCATAAGACATTGCGTAATCCGTGTGTTCGTGAATCCTACATTCATTCCCACCAGTTTATTTAGCTGTCTCATTTGCTGGATGACAGTGGACGCATTCGCCAACGTGCGCCGAGCCGCTATACACCATAGCGCCTGCACAGACCGTCCACGCGATTTTCTTAAGCTCCCCTCTCCACATGACGCACGCACAACAAGCCTATCTGTTCCGGCTTTCTTGACATCTTATACGCAACCCAATTTTTCCATATCTTTTTCCGCCTGCGACCTTCATCATCATAAATGATGCCATGCTCTACATTGAAAATGCATGTGGATGTGGATCAGCTTAGGCCAGGTGGGGTTTGGAACCAGTCAGTGACTGGGAGACCGTCTCCAATAAAGCATGTGATGACATAATTTCATCAGTCAGCAGTGCGACCGCATGATGGGTCCCGGCCCGCAGAGGGATGATTAGATGAGTGAGAGACATATCGCTCCTTCTTCGCTCCAATCCATCCACATAGCAGGTCAAACGTACTAATGCGCGTTCTCGCATACATTCCGGCCTGGACAAAAAAACGTTTTTCTTCCGTACCATGGGCACACGAAGCGCCATCGGCTCGGCCATCTTGCCACATAACAGCAGAAAAAGCAGACAGGATGACTAAATGCTTATCTTCCTATTTACAAACACGGCCCTGTCCCTTTAGCGATGCTTAACATAAGCACAGACGGCGCACTCGGCAAATATATGAAAATAAACATTTCAATACCTCAAAACCACATGTTCCCATGATTAAAACACGTCAAAATGAAATGTCAACAAAGTTAAAACATCCTGTTGCAATGTTACCAGACACCGCACGTGCATTCCTGAGCGAATCCACCTAGCCTGACAAATGTCAGCGTAATCACGAACAAATTACAGCTCTGCCTGAGCTTCAACTGGTCCAGCACCATGATTGCGTAATTGTATAGCTGCCAGAGGAGCGCATCCTCTTAATGGCAGATGGGTTTGCCAGCAAACTGCTTGTGTACCAGGACCTGTGATACGAAGGATGACACGTTCATACTCACGAAGGAAAGACCAGATCATTCGACTTTATACTGCGGGCCAGGTACGTGAAACATGGAGCCTTTTTGGACGCCTCTATACTAAGACGACAACAAAGTCCGTGACAAAATATTTTCTCGGCCGAAATGACGAAACAAATACACTAAGAACCTGAAATCTCCAACAAACGCGCGACCAGAAGCCGCAACCGACAACACAAAGGACAGACCTTTTTTCCAGGACTACTAACGTGGGCGGTGACATCCGCTGCACTTGCGGGCTTATCGCAGACCTACAGGCTTACGACATTAAGCGGATGAGCACAACGCTGACGCGTCAGCCTCGGACCGGATCTGGGTAGCCTTCACGCAATAGGAATGAATAGGATGCACGACCGGAGCTGAGTGTCCGAAAGGGACAGGAATGGCCGCCGCGGACTGATTTGACGCTGCATCGGCGCCACGCGCGCCTCTCCTAGCCGGACATCGTCAGCTGAGGGGACATAAGTCACGTGACCGGCGACCAATGGGGACCGAGCTCGGCCATAAGCCACTGAAGGTCACTGGTACTCGAGGGACGGAAGCGCGGCCTGGTCGCAGGGCGCCCACTCGCCTCATCATGCACTTTCGCAGGAGTTCCGTCTGGGCGGGTGGACGCTGCGGCCGTCCGCCCATCCTGGCCGGCCGTCATCAATTTCCCCCGCGGTTCAGCGCGGTTCGGGAGTGCCGCCCGAACGCTCGCACATATCGGGAAGTCGGCCTCCACACCGGGGAAGTCTCCACAGCCGGGACCATCCAGGACAGCCGCGGCGCCGCCACGCCTCTCACCAGCCGCCCCTCGCCCCGCGGCTCTGAAGTGGCCAGCCGGCTCCGGTAGTCCCAACAAAGCCAAACGAACCGGAGCCGGCTGCCGACCGTCAGCTCAGCGCTCGTCGCCGTACGCCCTGATCCTCGCGACTGAGACCTTCCGCCGGCGCCTTCCGAGACCGGGGCTTGCTGCGCGAGGACAGCCTCGCCACCACCCCCACCCCCTCTCTCCCCTGGGCGCCCCGTGGAGGCGGTCCTCCGCTCGGCCCGGCCCACGTGTGTGTGGGCACTCACCCGGCTAGCTGCACCCCAACGGCCTGATGACTTGAAGCCGACGGCCCAACGCTCACCTGGATCGGCCACTGCCGGCAGCCGGCCGACGGGCAGGCAGCCGGGCACAGCCCACAGGTATGCCAGGTCACGGCCCACCAGCTCCTGCAGCGTGGTCACGCGCCCCTCCTCCAGCGCCCATGCCAACACCTTCTCCACGTACTGGTCCTCGAGCACGCGCTGCGACACGGCGTGGTCGCTGCAGAGACAGGGGCTGGTGTCAGATCACACTCTGCGACGCGGCGTGGCCGCTGCCGAGACCGGGGCTGGTGTCAGACCACGCGCTGCGGCGCGGCGCCTGCCGGGACGAAAGCGGACCCACCGGTCAGTTTGCGGGGAACGGTGCCCGGGGTCGGTTGATAACCAGCCGCGGACAACACGACACGCGAGACGCCGCCAGAGCGGCACCGCCTGTCCACGTGGCCCCGTGCCGCTATGAAGCCACACGAGGACCGCGCCTTGGAGCTGAGTGCGCTACCTTTTAGACATCACTGGCTCCGTGGAGAAACCATTGGGGACTTTAAAACCATGCCGGCGGTGGCTTTATGAGGAAAGGCTGCCATTGTAGTTACTGTCTTCTTACACGAACCAAACAAAGCTTCACCACGAAAAAAGTAACGCAAAAATTAGCGATGACCAGGATCAATGTCGCGATGACATACTTCTTAACAATGTCTGCAAACATTTTAATCCGCGATTTCGGTCGGCAACGTTGCATGCATACGGGTAAAAAATGTTCCCATGACCACCGTGACTTGTTGAATATGGCTTGCTACTTTTAATTGCCACACATCGGGATTATAACCACGAAATTAATAGTGCTGCCCACCGACAGGAACAACAGGGTTTGATTGCGGGAATTCGCATGTTCGCGGGTTGCTACAATCAATCTGCCGCTCCAAGGACAGAGTCGGCACACCATAAGCCGCGACTGCAGCTGAACAATGGGGTACCGATAGCGCAGTGGTTAAGCTGGGGAAAACCAGGCGCCGGAAGTTCGATTCCACGCAGCGCCCATCCTTCCTGTCATGGTCAACAGCAGGCAGGGCCATGAACCCAAGCTGCGGCGAAAAGCCCCGACAACGAAGCTAAACAACACCGGTGAGTATTGTACGCAGCCGGCTGGCGGTCTGATCCTGCCGCAGGTGGACGGACCACGCCTGATGTCGACACCGGTGAGTATTGTACGCAGCCGGCTGGTGGTCTGATCCTGCCGCAGGTGGACGGACCCACGCCTGATGTCGACACCGGAGAGCATTGTACGCAGTCGGCTGGTGGTCTGATACTGCCGCAGGTGGACGGACCCACGCCTGATGCCGACACCGGAGAGCATTGCACGCAGCCGGTTGGCGGTCTGATCCTGCCGCAGGTGGACGGACCCACGCCTGATGCCGACACCGGAGAACATTGTACGCAGCCGGCTGGTGGTCTGATGCTGCCGCAGGTGGACGGACCCACGCCTGATGCCGACACCGGAGAGCATTGTACGCAGCCGGCTGGTGGTCTGATCCTGCCGCAGGTGGACGGACCCACGCCTGATGCCGACACCGGTGAGTATTGTACGCAGCCGGCTGGTGGTCTGATCCTGCCGCAGGTGGACGGACCCACGCCTGATGTGACCACATACCGCCAGTCTGACACCTTAACAGCCCAAGGCTCTTAATGGCGAAAACAACGTATGAGTTACTGCGCACGCCGTCTACGACAAATAGTTAAGCACCTCCTCCCGTGACCCGCTGGCATGTTTGCCGGGAGCCTTTCTCGCTCTGGTGGGTGGCAGAGCTCTGTACTGGGCAGCTGCTGGCCCCGCCCTGGAGCCCCAGTTGGCTACGTTGCAGTGGGCATCAGCAGGATGCGTCTGCGTCCCCGCCCAATGAGCACCGGCAGATCAGCACCACGTCCGGTACGCGATGTGAGGCAGCGCAGGCAGAGCGTAACGGGAGGCGAGGTCACTGAACACCAACTGCAGTCAACCGTATCTGATACCGCACCGGCAATCTGCGCACAACGTGAGAAACGCGGGGAGCGAGGGGCGCGGGTGTGACACTGGACGCCGTCCATAATACGGGATGACTCGTGCCGACTGCACATTCAACAGCTGTGGTATTGAGCCCAGTACGAGCCAGCTGCAAGCCTCTAGGGCGTTGGGCTCTCCTTACACTCCCCGACATGCGTATGGACATGTATCACCCGAATTGACTGTAATTGACTGTATCACCCGAATCACCCGATTTGCTCATGACATGAAAACGTTGTGATATCAGATCCTAACGCATTATAATATGAAGTGAATTTGAGCTTAAAACAACCAGCCGTGATTACGAAACAGTTGTCCAACAAAGTTCCTTACCTTCTTGCATATCACGTGCACAAACATCACCGTTACCAAAAATGTGCACATGAAGATCAGCATCTCCTATTTCGTGTATGGCATTATCTGTCTACGTTGGTTAGGGAAGTGAGGGATGCCTCACAGCCAGCGTCTCAAATATGACCACGCTGTTGTTCTTCTGGGAGCGATGCCTCGCCATTCATGCTCACCGGGCCTGCTAGCTCGCCTCGCGAACTCTCTGTCAGCGCCCGAACCAAGAAACCCACAGCTGCATCCTGCCAGCCATGCTGTTCTCCCGGCTTGGTGAGTCACAGCCACTCACAGTGACGCCCACAAGCGCAACAGTCGCAACTGTCACAGCCGCAAACATCGCGGAAGGACGGTCAAAGTTCGCCCCGGACATTGAGTCCATCGAGCCAGAGGAGGCCTCGCGCTGGAGCCGGGGCGTGGCTCGCGGTCCCGTACGGAGAACACCACCACAGGGACCGGAACGGCGGCAGCCCTGCGCTCGCGCCCAGGTCCCGCCCCGAGACAGACGACACTCATAAATGCGGCGGGACGATACGCCAGCCAGTGTGTTTTTCCCATTCGCTGATGCGACGCACATTCTGCCATCCAGCGTGTTTTTTCTCGCCGGTCGTAAACCGGTCGTAAACCGTAAACCGTCTTGCAAAGAACTGTTGTCGCTCGTTATGAAATTCATACGCGAGTGTTCTGTACAAATCCCAAAGAAAGAGGCTCGGCAGAGGCACCTTCGGGCCGCTATTTTTGGTAAGCAATATGCTCTGCGAAACGAATACCAAACGCAATGTTGAGCGGCACACTTCCGCTGAACTCTGTGATAAAATCAGGATCGCACGCACGCAGGCACGCTCATCCATAATGTCATCTAACCTATACACTGGGTTCTAACACAAATATTATGGTAAGGAAGCACTCAGGTACTGACAAATGACAACACACCGGTGGATTGATCACACCATTTCTACAAGTACCACCCGCGTATATAGAAATCGCTTCTCCCATGGGCGTACCGTACAAGACCTTCAAAAGAGAAACATTGATAATGTGCGGCTTCAGGCTCCCGTTATTCGGGGTTCGTCTGCGTTGGACGCGGTCTGCCGCCATCACCTTCACTTGTAAAGTAAAGGTGGGAAACCCAGTCACGCTGCCGTGCGCGTACACCATGCAGGACATGTATCGCAACTATTGGTGTCAGTTCCTCCAGGTAGGGAGGCCAAGCGATGGGGAGGGGGACGAAGAAGAGACACCGACGGTGCCTCTATGCCATATTATTTGGCTAGATCCGACCTTGAACAATGCATGACAAGCCATAAATCGGTTTTCAATGTATATACTTGACGTTTGTATCATTCAAAATAGGACACAACCGCATTAATTCCCTATTTCACAGAAATCAACTTTTTACTACCCTGGAGCAGTCTAGGAATTTTTATTATGGTTTTGAGCTTTGGATATAATGAAGGCCCGTGCACTCCATACTTAGCTTTGTTCAACCCACTACAGGGAGCATGGCACCTTCCTTATGTATTTTCATTTATCGTTTAGCCCGATGTGTCCGATTTCATCGGTAACACCATTTTTTCGAAATCCTTCTGAGTGTCTCGGAACTTGGACTTGAAGTAGCCGGAAGAAACATCCTTTGACTCCCTGTTTACCACTACGAACGCAGCAAATTCAATTTGCCATGTTTTTGCTAACGTATGTATAGAACGCACGTTGCATGTTTGCATGAACACACAATGTATGTTTGCAACACGCTTATTTGTCGAAATGCTTGTGTAATAAATGATACGAAAGCTTCAAACACTCTTTACATAACAAAGTATACGAACATGAGGCTTTGGTCCCGCAAATTCAAAGAAACGTTTCAACATGGCTTTGATTTTCCCCTACGGCGTTCACCCCGGTTGCTCTTTTCCGGCGCGCAGTTTGGCTTTGGGTAACGGAGTATCACATGGTTCATAGTGACACACTGGTTCACACTTCGACTTATGCGCTTCTTGGCAACTGCCCGCTGCGCCAATCACAAATGTTTATTTGTACTGACGTCATTCACACCAGTCGAGGTACAGCTTTTAAGCCCACGGGGCCGCAATGAGTGGGTTAAAACAGCTCAAGTAAAACCTCTAACCCGTAACAGCTGACAACGGCCCTCAGGAGATTCTGCCGTCATGACAACGGCGGTTGTCGTGACGACGGTCAAAACTGCAGTTGTCGCGGACTCATAATACACTCTGGGGCTACCAACAAAACAAGAAATGTCGTGCTGTTGCAAAGCCTGGGCAGCGTCGACTAAACAAAAGTAACATTTACAACTTCATTGTACTTTGATGGCGCTGCAGCGGCACTACCCAATGCTATTTCGATACGTAAATGGTCCTGAGGTTTCACCACGGTATGTTTATGAAATATGCCCCAAATATCGGCCACTCCCTTTAAGACTGGTTCATCAACATGACCATAGTAATCCCCCAGATGGCAACGATGATGTTTCAATTTTGGCCTGCTCCTGTCATCTACTTTTTAAACAATTATCGGAGCTCCACAACTTAAGATTTTTTACACGACCGAACGACGCTTCACCAATTGCAGTCCGTTAACTCCTTGAGATCTTTGGGGAGGGGGGGGGGGAGGGGCAGAACTAGCCCCTTCCAGCAATTTAATATAAATCGCATGGCCCTCGGAGGAATATGGTTAAATTGAAGTAAATGCAAATGACTGGTCATTGCCTATGACATATATGCCATGCCCAATGCAGCCACAGTTGTTTAACACGCGCCCGGATAGCCGACTAGATACCTTTTGCTACGGTGGGGGGGGGGCAATTTGACCTCACTGAGATC